TCTTTCAGAAGTAACAACAATTTTCTAGTTGTCTTTAGAATTTCACCTTTGCACCCTTTTAGATCAAATCTAGTTTCTTTGTCATTATCTTTTCCTTTTTTTGGCCTGGAATACAGACATGCTTCTTGTACATTTTGATTTCCGGCTTTTGGCTTAAAAAGAAATTAAACTGTCAAACAAACCAACAAAAAGAAACCCTCTAAAGGATCAACGATGATTGCTTTTTGTTACTTTATTTCCTACCACAGAGAGAGACAAGAGCATTCCTTGCGAAGGTGTGTTGGATGTCCTTCAAGAGACCGCCTGTTGTCACGGAGTCTGACATCAGAGTTGGGGATAGTGGAAAGTGAGAGAAGGGCAGCTCATCGTAGAAAATTGGAAGTTTCATTGCCTTGTGGGAAGAAGGCTCCAACCTTTGTTAGCTCGCTTTTCTGATCAAACGAAAGCAGAGACAAAGAAGGGCAAGACAGAAAGCCTTTCAGCTGTCAATAATAAATACAGAAACTTTAAAGCAATAGTGTGACTGGTGAAGGTTGTGAGGTGAGATGTAGCTTCCTTGGAAAGTATTGAGAGACAGGAAAGAGGGTCACCTACTAACTGGTGCCAGCAGTGCAGGCGAATGGACTTGACTAAAGCTGAAGCCAAAGTGCCTAACAGGAGGAGGTAAACTGTCCAGAAAACCATGTGCATTCTGAACCGTAGCCATACTGAGCACCCTCTGGATCAATGTAAACAGACACCCCCATCCCCCTCATCTTTCTTTTTCTTTTCTTTCTTTCTTTTCTTTTTTTTTTTTTTTTTTTTTTTTTTTTTTTGGTTTTACGAGACAGGGTTTCTCTGTATTGTTTTGGAGGCTGTTAGTCCAGCCCGGCCTCAAACTCACAGAGATCCTCCTGCCTCTGCCTCCCGAGTGCTGGGATTAAAGGTGTGCGCCACCACTGCCCGGCAATCTTTCTTGTCCTACATTCAGTGTGCAAAGACTTGGTGGCACACTTTTTGAGGATGAGGAAGTAGGATAGTGACTGGGGTGAAGGGTAGAAAGTTGTCAGGAGGAAAGAAACCTCTTGAATCTTTGGCAACTTATAGTGACACTACTGCTCAACAATGAGGGTGATGTACATTGCTGACCAGTAGAATTTTCTACAAAGATGGACATTTTAAAAACCAAACCCTGTTACAATAAGGTAGCCCTTTTCAATGAGTGTAATGAGTAGTAAAATGTAACTATTTTAATGGAGCTGCTGAATTTTAAATTGTATTTCATTTTAACTAATTTTAATATCCATCCCTAGCTAGGGGCTACCGTTTTGGTCTATATAAGTCAACAGTATAGTGCAGTACTTAAAACAGGGCAGAGACTGACCACTATTCATTGACTGACAGAATAAAATGCCATGGAAAATGACCAAAGAAAACAGAACAAGACAGGTTTGCTGGCTGTTATGTATAAGCCCAGAATGTGAGAGGCTGAGGCAGGAGGATCAGGATATGAAGGCTAGCTTCAACTTGAGATCAGTCTGAACTACATAATGTCCCCCCAAAAAACAAAACAAAACAATAACAACAACAAACCCTAACAAATGACAAGAACAAGAAAACAAATAAAGTGGTAATTGCATGACTAGTTACCTCTTTGCTCATAAGGATCCCATGAGGGTCATGAACCTAATATACCCATAGACTTGAGCCAACTGAAAACTGCCATTCTAGATTCATGTGGTACTGGAGAAACAAGGTGCAGTTTGAGAATTTACTCATAAGTGAATTATTTGTGAATGGAAGCCACTTCAAAGATACAATTTTAAACTTGGTTATCATAAAATGAAACTTCTTTTATTTTGGGTATTTACTATTCATTAGTCAAGTATGAGAGGTGAAGGAGGATGTGCTTTATGTGTCTTTAAGACTGTTCACTGCTGAGGGTACCTGTGTGTCCTGGTCAGTGCTTCTTGCTGTATGCATTAGTTGGCATTTCTCCTGGCACCATATGAATATTTCTTATTCTCCCTTTGCTGGCGGTCGGCTACTTATGGTATGATGTGCTTTAAGGAAGAAGTCAATGAGTTATGTTAGTGATAGAGAGGCTTCAGCTAACTACCAGGAAGGAAATAGAGTTGTGGGTTGTGCATCCAATGAGAGAACAAGGACAAGATAAGGAAGGGACTCAAGTTTTCCCTTCTGGCTGGACCAAGGCATGATCCATAAGACAACCTATTATCTTTTCTATGATTGTGTTCTTATTGTTTTGTTTATTGGTTTGACTTCTGAGCATAATGAAGTTACACTTTTTCTACCTTGGGACTCTTACCCTTTAAATTAAAAAAATTGAAATTAAAATACAATTACATTATTTTCTTCCCTTCCTTTTTCTCCTTTTAACCCTTCTCATCCATCTATTTGGTCTGTCTCAAACTCATGGCCTCTATTTCTTTGATATATATATATATATATATATATATATATATATACCTAAATACATAAATACAACATGCTTATTATATATGCTAATATATATGTATATATACATATACATATATATGTATATATATCATACCAGTATGTATTTTATTTCAGGACTGACAATTTGGTATTAGATAAATGGAGGCTCTTCCCTAAGGAAAACCATTTCTCCTGCTCTCTGTATTCATTAGTTGCCTGTAGTTCTTTGTCTGGTGTTGAGGACCAGTGTGCTTTCCTCTTTTTACATTAGCATTTCTATCTGTTTGGTCCTTTTTCAGCTCTTGTTTATGCAGCCATGCTGATGAGACTTCATGGGTATACCTTCTTTGAGTTTTCTAGGAGATACAATCCCATAGCAAAACTCCCTCTTTCTCGGGTTCTTGCAATCTTTTCTTCCACTATGATTCCTGAACTCTAGATGTTTGAGTTGTACTATCAATGTTATCGATTGAGGCTGGGCTGCACACATTCATTGTGCATTTTGATCCATTGTGATTTTCTGTAACACTGTCTATTGCAGAGAGAAGATTCTCGGATGAGAAGTGACACCTGTACCTATTTGTGGGTGTATTGATACATATTTATAATATAGTTAAAAATTGTGCTGGTTTAGTAAAGAGGTGTTTATAGATTCTCCTCCAAGATCCATGACTTTACCAGGCTCTGATAGTTGGCTAGGTTTCCAGTACCAGACACGATTCCCCTCCTGTTGAATGAGCCTTAAGTTCAATTAAAGAGCTGTTGGTTACCACGAAGGTGTGTGACACTATTATGTTGATGGAATTGTTCAGAGTTGTATCATAGCTGGTTTGTACTATTGGCTGCCTCCTTCCCTTCTGGTATCATCCATGACAGTCTACAGGAAGGAGACTTTCAGATCAACACCAGCTTGGATTCTTTGGGTACTCATGACAGCTATTCTACAGAATAGAGACTTTAAGATCAATTACAGCTTGGATCCTCTGTGTAATATGTTTGAAGTTCATGGTATCTTTCTTCAGCAATAGGGACTTACTTCAGCCTCTAGGAGGTAACCAAGGATAACAGTAATAGCCTATGATATTTTGAGAGTCTCTTAGATAACCCTGATTAACAACTCAAAAGGGGGGGCTTCCCATGTGATCAGCAACTCAAAGGAGGGCTTCCCATATATGGTATTAAGGTTTTTGTTGGGTAGTTTATAGATCTTGAGGGGGAGTTGGCATTGTTATCCCAGGCAGGAAAATAATATTTCAATTACATATACTTATCTGTACTATGTATAATTTTAGGTAAATAGGTAATAATATGATTTCTTATGCCTTTTTCAGAATCCTTACTTCTATTTTACCTTCCCTCTGTTTTTTTATCTCCTATCCCACCTAATTAAAACTCCTCCATTTTCCCATATTCCACTTCAAATCACTCATATGATGCTATATCCTGTTACTTCATGTTATATATTCATATCTGAGGATTTGGAACTAGGAACCTCAGATGAGAAAGAAGTTGTGATTTGTTCTTTCAGTATGGGTTACCTCAATCAATAACATCTTTTTAGTTTTATCCATTTAATTGAAAATTTCATTTTTCTTACAGCTGGATAGTATTCCACAGTGTATATATGTACCACCACACTTCCATTATCCTTTAGTTGGTAGATTTTGTAGGTTTGATTTTTCTAGCTATTGTGAATAGATTTTCTAGCTATTATGACTAGAGTAGCAATGAACATTGCAAGTAAATATCTTTGGAATAGGACATTGAGTCATTTGGGCATACACTGAGCAACGGTATACCTGGTCCATATGGTAGATACACTTTAAGTATTTTAAAAATTCTCCACACTGATTTCCAGAGTGACTGGATGGGTTTTCAACCTCAGCAATAGTGAATGAGGGTTCCCTTTCCCCATGTCCTCTCCATGATTTATTGTTGGTTTTTGGCTTATCTTTGCTATTCTAACTGGAGTAAGATGAAATCTCAAAGTTCTTTTGATTTGCATTTCCTTAATATCTAGGGATGATAAACTTTTTTGAGATATTTCTTAGCCACTTAGTGGTATGCTGCCTTGCACTTTTGACAGACTCCTTCCTACAAAGGTATGAAGTAATGCTGAGTGAGAAATGCAGGTAAGACATTGGGCAAATTTCTCTTATTCTTTGCTTTGGTAGATTCTAAGACTTCATTCATTCTACTATTTTGGTGCTCTTGGTTAGCATTAACCAAGAATTTAAATATTGCTGGAAGTCTTGAATTTTTTTTAGTAAGAATGGCATTCCAGGAAGGGTTTGAGCTGACACATAAGAACTTTCTAGCACAGTCACTATTGACTGCCTGCCTAGAGGCTGTGTGTGAGGCAGAGCAGTGCATGCTTGGCCCCCCAAGCACAGAGAATGGCACAGATAAAGGCTTCATAAATAATTGCTGGATGGCTGTCAAATGAATGAAGGGTGAATGAGCAAACATGCAAAACTCATCACTAGAACTTTTTTTTTCAGTAGTAGGTATACACCAATTTTTTAGCTAGTCTGGGGAATTTTTTCTGATCTTACCTGATTGCTTGTGAAAGCTTTCCATGGAGCACTCAGATAGAGCTGTCTGTTCGAATATGATACAACAACAATCTGGTTTGTCAAACACTGGAAGCTGGTAGACATGGGCTTTTCACATCTTTAAGCAACATGACATGAATACCACAAAGTGTTGCTTAGAACCACCTGCTGCCATTTGCTGTTGCCCTAGGGTTAGCTGAATTGAAGACATCCATTAGACCTAATTTGACTTCTCTTATTTAATTGGCAATTTTTTTCTGGAGAGCTGGAGAGAGAACTCACCTTCAGTTAGGCAAAGTCTGGCTAAGTGTAACATGGCCAAAATCAAATATGTAGTTGCCTTGTAGCACTTGGGCTTAGCTGACAGCCTGCTGGACTCTTAATTCCTTGGGGTATCAGATGAGGAGCAGCAATAAATAAACAACTAGGATCATAGCATTGACATCCAGCCTTTGCCCTTGGACAACCAGGAAAGTGGTAGTCACTGCATTCCTAAAGAGAATAGACTGTTTGAGTTTGGATGTTGCCTCAGTTACCTCATTGTTTGACCCAGAATTAGATCTACTAGTAAGAGTTCTTATTTATATTTTTTTTGAAGTACATGATTTCATGACAGTAATTGAGCGCTCACACACACACACACACACACACACACACACACACACACACACACACACAATGAAATAGTGTTCACATCAGGGCATAATGTAAAAAGAAGAAGTTGCTTGCACTCCATGAAACCACTCTCATTCTAAGTGAGAAAACCCATCTTCTATTTCTTGAGCCTTGTACCACACAAAGATGGATGCATGATAGTTAGCCTCAATTCCTGTGGCAATATACCCTAGACAATTGATTTACAGAAGGGAAGATACATTTGGGATCATGATTTTAGAGGCTTTGGTCTGTGCTTGACTGGTTCTATTGTTTCTGGGCTTTGGTGAGGTGGAACAAGAGCACAGAAACTTACAATAGAGGAAAACTATTTACCCACTGGTAGCCAGGAAGCAGCCAAGTACACACTTTAAGGGCAAACTTCCAATCTCCTAAGAACATGTTCAGCTGTGAACTCACCAGTGGATTAATTCTTTGATGGAGTTAGTGCCTTCGTGATTGAGTCTCAATATTATCACCAGCTGGACCAAGTCTTTTATCACATGAGCATATTTGTGGGATCAGGGGCCTCACAGAAGTGATCAGGTCCTTGGCAATGAAATCAATGAATCCCAAAGTAGTCAGAATTTGAGCCATAAGGTAGAGGAGAGATATCATCAGCACCATCTGAGAGTCTTCCATATCTTCAAGGACAGCATGTTTCCTAGCAACCTAGAGACAGCCCCGAAGAAGCTAGAATTGCATGGAATTTGTCAGGGGTTCTCAGTTAACTCTCTGGATTTCAGGGTTCAGAGAAATAAAGTTAAACTTACTTCTTCATGGACTGTCTTGTCACCTGCATAGAAGTATCTATCTTGGAATCCTTCTGATGCTTTTAGGAAAAGCAATGGGTGAGATGAAAGGGAAAGAAAAAAAAAAACATGCCGTCACTCATTTCCCTTGAGGATTTTCATTCCTGTAAAAGATACTGTAGGGACAATGTTGACAGAAGTGCCAGAAATGTCAGCTCTAAGAAAAAAAAGATTAGATGGAAAACTCCCCTGAATGCTTTTGGACGAGACCTTGTCTCATATTAGCTGTTATTAGAGAAGGGCGCATTCACAAAGCTATTTCATGGTGCCCTGAGGAGTATATCTTTCAGAAGCCTAGACCTGAATATTCATTAGAGTATATTTTCCTGGGTGAATATAAAACTCCACAAGTGCTTCCAATCAATTCCTTTTGTAATGTGCATCTAGAACAGGAGGTCATGTACAAGTGCTCTGAGAAGAAGATAAGGGCGTAAGAACAAGGATTGATTGAAGGAGTGTGTATAACCCACACTAAGAAGTCACACTTGACTAGCTGCAAACTGATGATTGGGCTGCATTAAGAAGGGCATTTAAGCATACGTGCTCATGAGAATACCCAAATGCACACACATGCTACTTGATTAAATAGTCTGCCATTTGGAAAATTCTGATGTTGTCCTAGTTTTATTTATGTTGCTATGATAGCATACCCCAACCAAAAAACAACAACACAAGAAAGAAAGCATTTATTTTTAGCTCATGATTCCAGGCCACAGTCCATTGTGGGGAAGTTATAGGTATGGGTGCTTGAAGCAATTAGTCCCATCAGAGCCACATTCAAGAATACAGAGAAATAAATGCGTGCATGCTTAGTGTTCAGATAGCTTTTCATACTCCTATACAGTCCAGGACTCCTAAATGAGGGACTAGGACCACATGCTTTTTGGGCTGAGTCTTTCTATATCATTTAAAACCATCAAGAAACCCCACATAGACATGACTACAGGTCCACCTGATCCAGGCAATCCTTGATACTCTTTTCTTGGCTGTGTTCAAACTGACCATCACACATGTCAGTGGCAAAACAGCTAGAGGAGAACTTGACCTCAGCCGTCTGACAGAGCGAAGGACTGAGTACCAAACAGTCAGATTCCAGCATTGCTGATAGGCTTTGGGGAAACAAAAGCTGTAGGCACTTAACCAGTATGAATATAAACACTTGAGATATGATTTTTATCATAGCTCAGAGCCATCCTGTGCATCTTTGTTGACTGTAATTTCATCAGGGAACAGTGCTTTTGAAACAAAAGCAAAGCATAGGTTCTCCTGTCCAAATGTGTCCAACAACAGCCTGGGGATGTGTTGCAGTTTCCAGAGCCTACTTCTGAGACTGTTTTAAGTAAGCCTTGAGGAGAGCTTAGGAAACTCATCTCTGGACAAGGACCATATTCCAAGGGTCCCAGGCTGTTCTAGAGCTGCTATCACATTAATGGAAATGCTGCTTACAGGTTATTCAGTCATTCTCTTTTCATCATGCCCAATAAAAATGGATTGCTAGAACCTCCCAGGTTCAATGCTGCATTGGGAATACAGAAGGAAATTCTGCCCAGTCCCTACCCACATGAAGTTTAGAGCTGAGGGGGCCTTGAAGGTCTCAGAGGCAATTTCGTTGTTGTAATTTAGGATTTTATCTCAGACAGTATCAACACTATACAAAATAGATGCAGGATAGATACAAGTTACATCTGTGTCATTGATATCATTGAGATAGATGTCTTAGAGATGTTTGGTTAATCACAGGGAGAGATCAATGTCATGGAATGGTGGTTTGTATATCTATGTTTCACATAGGTGCACCATGCCATACAGGGCCACATGGGGGAACATCCATGTTAGTTAGGAAGCATACAGAGATAAGGAAGGACTTAAATCAGGGTGTAGAAAAAAGAAAGACAGGGTACAGTAACAATTTGGATTGGTGTGTTTGAATAATTCTGGAGTCTTTTGGGCTAAGAGGATGGTGGTCAGGTCCCTGGCTCTCATCCCTGGGATGACTTCACACAGGACAAGATTGGCACAGTATATGGGTTAGATGAGGTGTTGGTTGACTTGCCTGTGAGAGGTATTTTTTTTCAATTAAGTCATTTAGTGTTTTAGGAATTAGTCAGGCCTGGGAGGGGTAGTATCACACTAGTGCTGAAGACCCTCAAATGCACAAATACAGAGACTGATGAAAATAGAAAACACAGTGAATATAAATGTCCCTGTGAAAATACAGAAACTAAGAAAATGTAGAGCCACTACCCTCTGATGAAGTTGATTACATGAAAACAGCTAAAGAGAGTAAAAACAACATTACTAGGCAAAAATAATTAAACAAGAGCAGTGTATGAAATAGCCTGGAAGCTATACATCTTTCATCTAGGATAACATTTCTCCAAAACTAAATCTGGCAGCTCAGGGGTTAATGTATTTAATTATGTATTACAAAGTCTGGTTTCCAAATGCCTGGGTGCTTTACATCTCCTTAAAATCTTTCTGAGCAAAACAATAAGTTGTTGCTGGGAACTGGAGATGGAAGTTATTGACCTCCCATTCACTGGAGGGAAGTGGTACCTAAAACCTGCAAGGAGATAGTTTGACTAAGCTAGATGTAATTTAATGGTCTAGGTACTTTAGGAGATACACCATGCTTGTGAGCATAGGCTTAAGATCTCACCTTCATGCTACAGAATATATTTTTCCCTGTTTGGGGATCATGGATTCCATGCGGTATCATTGAAAATGAATAGCAAAGCTAGCAGGGATCTTTCTAGTCCTGTGTTTCTCAATAAGAAGTTACAATATAATGTGCTTCGTGTTTTCTTTTGATCCTTGATCGTGTTTCCTGGGGGAGGTGGTAACGACTAAGATAGATGTCTATAAAGAATGAATATTGATGGCACATTATGTAAGGCTCAATGAAGGTTGTGAATTCACCAGATGCTTGGAAAGTCAGCCACTCCATTATGCATTTCCTTGGCCCAAGCTTGGATATTTTCCAGGAGCAGTTGCAGAAGCAAGTAGAAGGATCTGGTGTGAGTGTGTGTGTGTGTGTGTGTGTGTGTGTGTGTGTGTGTGTAAACTCCAACTTGTTTAAATGAGTAACTCATGAACAACTTTCCAATCTTTCTTCAACTGAACTATGAGCTTGGATTTTATAGGAAATCAAGTAAGAAGTAAAAAACAAAACAAAACAAAAATCCAAAAACAAAACACCACCACAAACAACAAAAAAAACCCAGCTTGGGTCTTTACTTCCAAGCGAACCGGCCCCTAGGCAATCATTTTGTAAGGAGACCAGGTCCTTAGTGCTAAGCTTGCTTAGCAACACATTTTCTTGATGAAGGTTCACAAAGCAGAGGGAAGTGAATGGAGGTTTGATTAACCACAGGCCATAATGGCTATATCAGTTTCTTTTGTAAGTGAAAGATTGTCTTTGCATATTCATAAGGGGTGTCTAAGCATCTCTGCTGGAGCTGTCAGGACTCTAAACTGGGTTGGATTAGGAAGTGTATGGGAGGCCTCCCAATGGGTGGCCCTGGGGGACATTTTTTCACAATCAACGAATTCAGATTGCACAGAATTTACTCACTGTAAAAGTTGTTAGGCGTAGAAGGAGGTTGTAGAATTTATTTTTCCCATAGATCTTTAAGGACAGGACAGAAACTTGCTGAATAGGTTGAATTGAATACAGTTGTGAAGTCTTTGAAATGAACTCTGACTGGGATGGAAGACATAAAGCAAACGCAGAATTGAGAAGCATGAAAATCAATCCAATTATCCCAGCAGCTGAGATGGGATCCCCGCGTATAAACTCGGCCTTCTGGGCTGATGGTTACATTTTTGTATTTTAGGACAATATAGATTTCCTAATATAGACCTATAAGGAGCTTGCCCACCCCAGGTCTACCTAGTTTAAAATGTGTGGACTCCATTGAGGGCATCAGGAAACAAAGCGGAGGTTTGTGTCATTCATACAAAGTCAGCCAATTGTCCCAGGCAACATTTTGTTTCATTTGCCTTCTTCTCTTTTTTTTTTAAAGTGAAGTGTATTGTAGAATTTTATCCTCCAAACGAATCTAACAAAGTGAGGAGAGTATGGAATGAATTATTTACACCGGGTCTTAGATTAAGTAGCAGGGCTAAAGATTGGATTCCAAACTCTTTCCACACATTCACATGACTTCCCTCAGAGACTTCTAATCTTGGCATTGTCTGACTCTGTTTTCTAAACACATTATTATGGCAGAGACTATTGCATTCTAGAAATGGGAGTCCACAGAGACCATCCCAGCTACCCTGTTCAAGAGCAAGTCAGAAATAGATTTCACTATCGAGTGTTCTACTCCAATCTCATATCCACAAAATCTGAAGGATACAATCACAAGCATCATGCAAGAAATCGATGGGGAGGTGAGAATTAGACTCTCAAGTGAGTCTGAGAACAATTCCTGCTCAGGACTTAGCTGAGCGCTCAGGCATGCTGGGTATTAAAGGCTTTTTCAGAGAGCTGGCTTTTGCCTGTGAGCTCCTAGAGACCATTTTTTGATCCCTAAATTCAGCTTACAGGAACTTTTAAACAAATGCATGCTGCATTATTCTCATTATTCAATTATGACAGTCTTTCCCCCAGCATTTTAATTAGCACTCATTTACTGAGAATTAAACTGTCATTTTAGTTGAACTTAAAGGAGTACCCCAGGGACATGCATTCCACAAGATAACAAAGGCACCATATAATTCTGATGCTTCAACAATTTAGACTGAAGCCACGACAGGGCTTTTCTGTCAGCCATTTCGGATGGAACTTAATCATGGCTGTTGAAGGATGGGGGAGGATGCATCATTCTCCACGTGGAGACTTGATGCCTAATCACGTTAGATAGGGGGAAGGCAGAGTCCCACCTGATCTTGGGAACCACAGAACTCAGGAGCGAAGACCTCCAGCTTCCATCACTAGTTTGGCCACACAGCTGCTGCATGTTCCAGGCTATGTGGGCTCTTTGTCAGAGATGAGGCTGCTGTGACCATAGCAGGCTTCAGACTGTGGTTTCCAAGCCATCTGGGCCTACCCTGACTTCCTCAGACCAATCACTTTTCCCTTGGCATTTAT